AACCTTCTCTTCTCCGGAGTTCCAAGTCAACAATGTACCGGTTTTGTACGGTTGGGCCTGGTGCATTGTCTGTGTCTGGACTGGCGGCGTTGGGCTGGGGGTGACTCGCACTCGTGGCACCAATTCATAGCACCATAACTTCAGACTCAAGATTCAGAATTTGTTTCAGGCAGCTACATGAGCAAATTAGCTGCACTTTTTTGTTAAAGCGACGGGCAACTTTTGGCAGTGTTGGGTTCAGAAGTTTTTTTTTTTTGAACCAGGCTTGCCAGCGCGAAAGTGCTGGCTGGCGAAAACCAGGATTTCGTGCGGACACTTTCCATCCGCAGTAACAGTTCGCCAGGGTTCTGGGTTTTGGGTGGCAAATGTGCATAGTCGCTTTAACACGAGCGTGTTGCTAGCTTTCAATAGTAGCTCCTGGCCTCGTGTCAGTTATTCTTTCCTTTTTTGACGATAGTGTTTCCTCCCGTCGCAACGCCTCGTGCTTAGTCTGTTTCGTCTCAGTCTTTTTCACATTTTCCCTTCTGCCGCCTTTCGCGGAAAATGATGCGCATCGCCGCTCGCCAGCTCCTCTCCGCGGGAAAGTCGCTCAAAGCGGCATCTCCGGCAGAAGTCGCCGCACTTGGCGGCGCAGGAGGCGGTCGCGGCCTCGCGGCGTCGGCAGCGAGTGATGCTAGTTGTCCGATCGTGGCGAGCCTTCCAGATCTGCCGTACGATTATGGCGCGCTGGAGCCGGTGGTGAGCGGCGAGATCATGCAGTTACATCACGCGAAGCACCACGCTGCTTACGTGGCGGGTTACAACAAGGCGGCGGAACAGTTGGACGCGGCGCGGGGGAAAGGCGACACGGAGTCCGTGGTGTCGCTCCAACGAGCGATCAACTTCAACGGCGGAGGTAAGCCGGGAGGTATTAATTCAATAACGACAGATTAATTGGGCGATTGAGAAGGGATATGAAGGTACTACTAAGCACGGTTGTTTTCTACATGCATTAACCAACTATTAAGCAATTCCGCCCGCTGGTTTTTAAGTGCGACTTTTAGCAAAAGATGAATCGAGATTGAGGCAGAACGGATACGATTTTTGAGGCGCATAAAAGATAGAGCTGAGAAGCCCGAGATTGAGCGAAGAATGAGTTGCATTGAGCGAATAATTTTACCAAGAAACAAGAGCAGGAGGAGTTGCATGCATTATTTAGAAAATCATTGCCACGAAATAAAAAAAATCAGAATAACAAACGCAAGGATTGCATTATGTTGGGATGATGCTTCAACGGATCCACTCAACATATTGTCATGATTGAGTAAGTCGTCACATGTGTGTTGTTGCCGTACATGTTAGTGTGTGCGTCGTGGGGTATTGGCTGTGCGACTGTGCCTTTGTGCGACACTGTGCTAACGTGTGTTGTGTGCGACCGTTCGTGGCGTGCAGGCCACGTGAATCACAGCATCTTCTGGAAGAACCTCGCTCCCATCAGTGTAAGACTTCTGCTCCCTTTCTGGTTTCTCCATTTTCTGTATTTTCCCTTCGTTCTTTGTTTCCACGAAATCCCGATTCCTCTTGATTTGTGACAATTTTCACCTTTTTATTTGTGGGCCGCTGCGTCCACCACAGCCCGGCTAACACCAATCCGAACACACCCTAGCACCAGTTTCTCCTGCCCCTTTGTCTCGTCCTGCGTGTTCGCAGGAGGGAGAGGGAGCTCCGCCCGAGAGTGCTTTGGGAACAGCCATTGCGGGAGAATGAGTAGACGTAATCTGAGAACACCTTGATACCAATCCTGCATTTCCCCCTCGCTTTGCCTTGCCCTTACAGGAAGGAGGGGAGCGCCACCCAAAGGGCCTCTGGCTGGAGGGCGGAATTCCAACACACCCAAATACCAATGCGTCCTCTTCGCTTGTTCTTGCAGGAGGGAGGAGGAGCCCCACCGGAGGGTGCACTAGCTGCAGCCATTGACGCCCAGTTTGGGTCGCTGGACGCCCTTGTTTCAAAGTTCAATGCCGCTGGCGCTGGCGTGCAGGGGTCCGGATGGGTGGTGAGTGACTGAAACGGGTGGGACGTTTATAGAGTTGGGAGTGTACTCCTTCTGACTGAAGTGCCCGAGTTGAGTCGCCGGACGCCTTTGTCTCCCTTGCCTCCTGACTTCAATGCTGCTGGCGCTGGCGTGCAGGGGCCTGGATGGATGTATCGTAACAGAAAGAAGAATGCTCACACTGTCTTGTTCCTCCTTTCCCCCTACGGTGGTTCTGCCTTGGAGAAAGAAAACTCTTGTTTTCTTCTTCTTCCCACTTTCTCAGAACAAATTTGCTCCCACTGTGTCATCCTGTCCCTTCATTTCCCCCAGTGGTTGAGCCTTAACGACAGGAAGAAGCTGGCAATTGTCACGACAGCCAATCAGGACGCGTGTGTGACTACAGGCCACGTGCCTCTATTGGGCGTTGACGTGTGGGAGCATGCCTACTACCTTCAAGTAAGACCCTCTTTTTATATCCTGTGCATAACATTGCTTCTATTATCACGACGTTTCAAGTAGTCAGGTGCTATTTTTCATTTGTAGTACTTGCATCTAATTATTTTTGCCCTAATGTTGCATATTTTGGGCCTTTTCTGTTTCCAGTACAAGAATGTTCGTCCTGACTACTTGAAGAACATTTGGAAGATCATCAACTGGAAGGATGTGGCTTCTCGTTACGCAGCTTCTTCTTGAAGGGAACAAGGTTCCACACATGGAAAGGTGCATGAAAGTATCGCGCACCATTAGTAGTACGATATCGGCTAATTGAGGTGTACGGTGTTATAATAAATGATTAAGCTTAACATGTCCAAGTAATCTTCCAGTGTTCTTTAGACAGGGAAAAATCGTTCTGTCAGTTAGGACTGGTTCTGGCAACACTTGTGCTCCTGAGCTTTACCTTTCTTAATTACTGTATTGTGGGTTTCTTGAATAATTTGTTTTTGTAGCAAGCCGTGAGGCTTCCCTCTAACGCGACGCTCAGTCATGTCCGTTTGGCACGGGAAGCGCGCTCTGACCAGCCCTGGTCAGGTGACAAGCCGCCACCGCGGCTTCGATTCACTCGCCGCTGACATGTCGGCTCGGACCGTCTTTCCGCACCATTCCAGTGGAATCCACGGACTTTTCTGGTTCGTTGCCCCTGGGTTTGCGCGTGAAGTGGTGGTGGCAGGGCAAACTGCTTGTTGCATTCCCAGTGCCTGCTTGGTTCGGGCAAACCAGTCGTCCCAAGCAAAACAGCGACGGCAACAAATCAGAAAGCACGCCAACGTGTTTTGCGCTTTGACATTTTCACCTCCCTCGCATTTCCCCGCGCCCTTGAGAGACACAGCATTGCGTTCAAAAGCCAGTTTTGTTTCGGAGAGTTCGTGAGCACTCTTGCGTAACCAGACTTGACTCAGCAAAGTCATGCTTCAAGAGAACGAACGCGAAATTGATTTCGCAACCAGGTCGAGTCGTGAATCGCAGAGCGACTCCCCTTGACAATTATCCCGGCCAACCCTCCCAGACCACCTCCCCCCCAAACCGATCCCAATGTCAGCGGTTCAGTGTCACATCACGAACAAGTCGAGGGTCTTATTGCTGATACCCTACCAAACCGTTCGAGGGTCTTATTGCTGATACCCTACCAAACCGTTCTATATTGCAAATAAGTCGCGTTTACCGCAACACATTTCACTCCACCGCATTGGTACTATTCTTGAACAAGGCTATGGGGTTCGTCGAATTCCACTCCACATTACTCCAGCTTGACTCATCTTGTGCTTTCGTGCTTTCCCCCCCCCCCCCCACGTTCCCCCTCCCGTGCCTCCCTCCCACCTCCAACTTACCCCCCGCCAGAGACAATCAGCATTCCACATTTATCTAACAAACCAAGGAGTTGCCGAGCGGCAGTCGTTTCCCTACTTCCCAGGGCAAGACAGCCTATCCCTTCAGCTCATGGCAGGCACTTGCACATAATCAGGCAACACGTCACCTAGACTAGTACGCCTTTAGTGCCTTCTCACCACTATATCCTCCTTCCACATTTCTCCCTAGTTCTTGTTTCAGCTGCTTCGTGATAGACACTAGCCGCCATGTCTGAACGGAGCAATTATTCCTACAACGGGCCGCGACCCAATCCGCTGTACGGCGGCCCGAAGGCCTCCAAAGCCACCAGCTCTAGCAGCCAGAACCCCTCGTGGGTGCGTCGCGAGCCATCCGCGTCGCACGCATATAGCGACTCGAATTGCTCCCCCGGTGCCTCGCCCGCGCGCAGCAACCGCAGCGGCGGAGGGCCGTACTACGCGCCGCAGTATGAAAACCCGGGGTACACAGTCGAGACTCCAGGACACTATAACGGGTTCGGAACGGGCCCCGGTTCCGTCGGCGGAAGCTCCATTCCTGCTGCGTCGCCGTATCGCCCCACCGCGTCTTATTTCGTGCAGACGCCCGCGCATTCCGATCGCGCGGGGCTGTTCAGCTCGCCCGGGTCGTCCGCCCCGTCGTCGCCACGTTTCGGCGACGAAGACGCGCGGAGCATGCGATCCGGGCGAGGAGGCGCGTCCGTTGCGATCAACGGCGGCGACGGCGACGACGACTGCGACGATTTTTACCCTGATCACCTGCGCGACGCGGACCGGCGACGCAAGTGGTGGATCGCATTCTGGGCGTACTCGTCGCTGATCGTCGGATTGCTGCTGGTCGCAGGCGCTATCGTTTGCTATATCGTCTTCCAACCGACGGAACCAACGTACACTTTCGACGTACGTTGATTTGTACGCGCTTGATTTATTTTTTGTCAAGTTTCCCTCGCGATCTTTCCTACCGAATACAATCGCCCTGTTTCGCGTCGGCAGCGCGTCAGCCCTTCCCCTTCCCATCACCAATTGGCATTTCTCCGTTGTTTTCTGTAACAATTTTCGAACCTCCAATTTCCCATTATTTTCTTGTTTTTTTTTTTTCATGTGTACAGTACGCGGCGGTGAACCAGTTTAGTGTATACCAGGACATGCTCGACGGTAACGGAATGGCGACGGACCATCTGTACGCCAACATGACGTTCATCTTCTCTATCCGCAACCCCAACACGCGGTTCAATACGTGGTTCGACGGCGGCGATCTCTCCATCAGCTATCACAACATGGCGAATATCATGAAGACAACGGTAAGTGCCAGCACTCACTTACTGATGGAGTCACCCCTTTCACACTCACTTCATGGCAAATACCATGAAAGCCGAGGTAGGATAATTCCCTTTCAAACACGAGGCCACTCATTCTCTCTCTCATTCACCCTCGTATTCTCACCCCCTGACTCACTCGCTACACACATATCTGATCGCTAACCTTGTCGCTCACTGACCGTCACACTCACTTGCACACGCTTTCCCACTCACTCATGCGAGCAGGTCACATCCCGAATCCACTCACCCACCTTTCCGAATCCTCTCCCCGTAACTTCTCCCCGACCTCCCACCCCACATATCCGCCATTTTTGTCCTTTCCCTCCCCCATTTACTTCCCCCTTCTCCTCCCCCCCCTCGAGCTGCGACCTTCCAGCAAGATCAACTCGAGTGGTCCAGCTTCATCCGCTCGCTCTCAACCATGGCGTTTCCCTTTATTTACCTTTCTCCCTCTCCCCTCCATTCCCTCTCTCTTTTGTCCCCCTTCCCACTCTTCCCCTCCCTCCCTCCCCCGCCCCACCTCCAGCTGCCGACCTTCCAGCAGGAGCAACTCGAGTGGTCCAGTTTCAACCGCTCGCTCTCAACCATGGCGTTTCCGCTCTACGCGGGGGGGACGTTCATGCGCGCGGACATGGCGGAGCAGTTCGTCCCGCTGAAGCTGAACGCGACGCTCAACAGCCACGTGGACGTGCTGTGGAAGATCATCCAACCGAAATACGCTCAGCTGCTGGAGTGTGTGGTTCACATTAACCCCGCGTCTCTACAGTACATTAACGATACGTGCACGCTTACAATGCTTAACAAGAAATTGTAGGGGAAACGGGAGTGGAGAGGAGGTAAGGGTTTTGAGGCAGTGATTGAAGCTGGGAGCGTAAAGGCAAGGCATCGGCCCGCGAAGCTGAAGAGTGAGGGTGTGTGAGTGGGAGTGCTAGGATCTCTAGGCAGGACTGAAGATTTTAGAGATTTCTACAGTTTCAAGTCCCTGACTGGGCTGATTGTTGGGCATTTGATGGTCGTTCAGTGATTAGAAGAGGACAGTTTAAAAAAGGAAGGAGACGAGAGAAGGGATCTGGTGGTTAGCGGGTTCTGTTAGTGGGTTTTGAGGCAGTGATTGAAGCTGGGAGCGTAAAGGCAAGGAATCAGCCCTCTCGAATCTGAAGAGTGAGGGTGTGAGTGGGAGTTCTAGGATTTCTAGGCAAGACTGAGGATTTGAGAGATTTCTAGAGTTTCAAGTCCCTGACTGGGCTGATTGTTGGGCATTTGATGTTCAGTGATTAGAAGAGGACAGTTTAGAATAGGAAGGAGACGAGAGAAGGGATGTGGTGGTTAGCGGGTTTTATTACCACCTGCTTTTATCGCAACGAGGCTCAGGTCCAGGGTTGAAAGGACCGGGCCCTAGGGTTTGATGATTGGTACTATGGTGTTGGGGTCTTGGATCCCTAAAATCCCGTGTCTGCTAAGCTTCTAGAATATTGAGTTACCGGTAGGTTTATTTATCTATAGGTTATACTGCATGCCTTGTGCCTACCCAAAAGTGCTAATGCAGCTTGTGTTCACGTTGTCAATGCTGATCTTTACAAAATGGGAGGTGATTGTTTGAGGTGGTTTATTTGAGCAGATGAGAGAAATCTGTATTACAACCTGACGGATACACCCCGCCGCACTGCACCCATTTAAGCCTTACAAACCTCATGGGAGATGGATGAGGGAAGTTCACCCTCGAACCGAACCCATTCCGACGCTTGGTTGTAGCCGGCTCTGTGCTCTATATTGCGGTATCGTGCGATTGAGTACGGTTGCGGATCGACCTTCAGCAAATTCTGTAGACTTCCCAGCCTTCCAACTGAAGCTGATATTTTGTCCGTGAAGTCTACCTGTTACGAGTGCAATTGAGTGAACGAGCGAGAATTGCACTATCGAAGCAATCAATTCAGTTGAGCGAAAAGCATGAGCGAAGTTATATAGCGAAGCTAGTGTGGTAACGATAATGTGGGAAATTGGGGTGCGCTACGGGCCTAGCGCCGAGGTTGGGAATTGTCGAGGCGGAGGTCTGGAGCGCGGGTTACCAACCGAACCGTGAGGTTGGGTCGCATCGTGAACAGTGGCGGGAGTCGTGGTCGAGGCGAATGTCGCGAGCGGGTAACGTTCACGGATGGGTGCCGATGGCGGGAACGTGCATGTACGCGATAAGCAGGGACGCGAAGTAAGGAAAAGGGATTTTCCTTACACTACCCCCCTCCCCAAGGAGGCCCCTCTTACGAGAGCGCGTGTACATCTCGGAAGTTTCGGCTGCGTAGATACTCAGTGAGGACAGGGTGATTTTCAATTCTATCCAAGGGGACCCAGTTGTCTTCGGTGGGCGTGCGGTCTTTCCAGCGGATCAGGAATTCGATTCTGCGGGCTCCCCGTGGGTCACGTACTCGATGGCTCAGTATTTTCTCAGGCGTGATGATTGGCTCAGTCGACGGTCGTGTCATGCTGGCGGGGCGGTTGCGAGGCAGTTGGCTGGTGGATGGCACGTATGGGCGAAGCAGGCTGACGTGGAATGACGGGCTGACGTACCAGTCAGCAGGGAGGAGGAGATGGGCGGTGACGGGTGTGATCATGTGGCTGATGCGAAATGGCCCGCAATATCGGGGGCGGAGTTTTGGGGTGATGGGCAGGCGGAGGTTTTGAGTGTCGAGTAGAACTAGGTCGTCTGGCTGGTAAGTGACAGGTCGGCGGTGGCGGTCAGCGTTGCGTTTGGCGATGATGTTTGATTTTTTAATTGCTTCGGCTGCTCGGGTCCGTGCTGCTTGCAGTATCTCTGCGAACTGTTGCGCGCGTGGGACTGGATTGTCGGGATTCGGGGTCATGGGTACTGTGGGGTCTTGTCCGTAGTTCAGGTAAAACGGTGACTGTTGGGTCGTGGCGGATGGCGAGTTGTTGTATGCGAATTCGATGAGTGGCAGTTGCTGTTCCCACGTGGTCGGGTCGTCGCACGTGGCCCGGATGAGCTGTTCCATGGTCTGATTTGTCCGTTCTGTCTGTCCGTCGGTTTCGGGGTGGTATGATGAACTAAACTGTAGTCGCGTGCCGAACTGCTGCCATAGGTTCCGCCAGAAGTTGCTGGTGAATTTCGTGTCTCTGTCGCTGATGATTGATGCTGGTATCCCGTGCAGTCGAACGACGGTAGAGATGAAGAGGCGAGCTGTTTCTTCGGCTGTGATTGATTTTTTGCAGGCTGCGAAGTGTGCCATTTTCGTCAGTCGATCGACGACGACCAGGATCGCGTCATTCCCACTCGCTCCGGCCGGTAACCCCGTGACGAAGTCCATCGTCACCTGCTGCCAAGCACGCTCTGGGGGTGGTATCGGCTGCAACTGTCCTGCCGGCCGCTTCCGTGATGACTTCATGATCTGGCAAGTGGGACACGATGCCACGTGTCGTTGAACGTCGGTCAACATTTCGGGCCAGTAATAATACCGCTGCAGCTGCTGCCGTGTTTTTTCTATCCCGAAATGTCCCGAGGTAAATCCATCGTGTGCCTCCTGTAACAGTAATTCCCGTAGCAGTGTGTACCCTGGTACCCAGATGCGATCGGTCCCGGCTTTTACGTAATAGACTCCCTTTGCTGCTGCAAACTGTTGCGAATTTCCTCCTGTGAAGAATGGATCCGTTTGGTACCCGTGGGTAAATAGGCCTGTCAGTAGTGGGTTGGTCTGGGCGAGTAGTATTGCATGGATCTGGGCAGTGGGGCGGGTCAATGCGTCGGCGATGTTCGATGCCCCTTTTTTGTAGGTGACTGTGTAATGGAAGTTTGACTCGAGGAAATCAAGCCAGCGAATCTGTCGTGGGTTGAGGTGGGGCTGTGCGCGAAGGTACTGTAGGGATCGGTGGTCTGTCCGTACTGTCACGTCTACGCCAGTCAAGTAACAGCGCCAGACTTTGAACGCATGCACGATCGCGAGCATTTCGCGGTCGTGTATCGGGTAATTTTTCTCGGGCGGATGCAGCTTTCGTGACTCGTATGCGATGGGCTGTAGGCCGTTGCCGAAATCCTGTAGCAGTACGGCTCCAATGGCGATGTCGCTTGCGTTTGTAACTACTTCGAATGGGCGGTGTGGGTCAGCGATGCGCAGTACGGGTGGTGAGCAGAGAACATGTTTCAGGGCAGAGAAGGCAGCATGCTCTTTCTCCCCCCACGTAAAAGTGACCCCCTTCCGTAGTAAATCCGTCAGTGGGGCAGTTAACCGTGCCATATCGGGGACGAACCGACGCACATAATTAACGAACCCTAAAAAGCTCTGCAGCTCCGTGATGTTCGTCGGGGGGTGCCACGCTTTTACCGTGTCCAGCTTCTTGGGGTCAATTTCAACTCCAGCCTCCGAAATAACGTGCCCCAAAAATTCTAACCTATCCTGGAAAAACTCGCACTTGGAACCCTTGGTCAGTAATCGGTGCTCGTCTAAAACCTTAAAAACTGCTTCCAGATCTGCTAAGTGCTGCTGCTTGTCCCTGCTGTAGACTAGGATGTCGTCGAGGTAAATTATCACGCATTTATCTAAGAGTGGCCTAAACGCCTCGTTCATGGTCATCTGAAATGTCGCCGGTGCGTTGGTCAACCCGAATGGCATCACGGTGTACTCGAATGACCCGTATCTAGTCCTAAATGCTGTCTTGGCGCAGTCGGATGGTTCGACCCGAATCTGATGGTAACCTCCCCGTAAATATATTTTCGAAAAAACCCGTGCTGTTCGCAGCTGGTCAATCAGTTCGTCAGCGCGGGGAATGGGGTATCGCGACTTGACTGTAACTCGGTTCAGTGCTCTGTAATCGATGCACATGTGAAACCCCCCGTCCTTTTTCGGTGTGAACAGTATCGGTGCGGCGAATGGTGACGAGCTCGGTCGGATGAATTTTTTCTCTAACAAGTAGTCTAACTGCTTCCTCAGCTCATCAAGCTCGGGCTGTGTCAGTCGGAACTGTCGCTGTACGGTTGGCTGTGCCCCGGGTTCTAACTCTATGCGGTGGTCGTGTGCTCGCTGAGGTGGCAGTCCCTCCGGTAAGTCGTCGGGAAAGATCCCCGGGTACCGTTTCAATAGCTCTTGCAGTTCGGGCGGTACTGCTGTCAGCAGTTTCTGAAAATCGCTCGGCTGCTCTGCTTCTCCTACCAATGCTATATCCACTGCGTACACGTCAGCTCCAGCGGCGACAGCCCGTTTCATCGTGATGGCGTTGACGTGGACCGTTGAAGACTCGGGCGACTGCCAGCGAGGTAGCACGACCCAGTTACCGCTACTTCGCACAGTGCAGCCAATTCGCGGGTTATACCGTCGCAGCCAATCACGTCCCAGTAAGATGTCGTGCCCATCCAATGTCGTCGCGAGCATTTCCTGTGTAAACCCAAAGTTTCCCCCGCAGCGGACTTTTACTCTCTCCACCTTCTCCCGTATAGCCAGTGGCGTTCCGTCTACTAAGCGCGCATCTATTTCCGGTAAACACCGACTAAGTGTCAGCCGCAGCTTCCGTGCGGTTGCGGTATTAACTAAACTTTGGCTTGCTCCTCCGTCTATAAAGATCTTCACTGCTGCTCCCTGTATTTTCCCGTGAATCAGTACTGGGCAATCCGTCGCTGTACCCTCCTTATTCATCCGAGCCCGATCGATAGCGTGAATCGGTACTGTGACTCGGTGAGGGTCGGTGTGGTTGGGCGAGCAGGCAGTCTCGTCAGTAGTTGGCCCGATTCCTACTGACTGCTGGCGTTTCCCTGCCTTAGAGACTCCCTCCCCTGCTCTGCTCCGCGGCGCCTCAGCTCCTCTGGGCATTCACTCTTGCGATGGCCCGGCCTATTGCAAGCAAAGCAGCGCCCCTTAAACGGCGCGGCAGCTGCATTTGTCGCAACAGCATGTACAGTGGCGTGCTCGATCGGTCCCCGAGGGCGATGTCCGTAGTAGGACCCCGGTCTCGGTCGGCGTAAAATGTCGACTTTCTCGGCGAGCGCGAGAATCTCGTTGAAATTCGAGAGTCCGCGTAGCATGATTTCGTGCGAGATGTCCGGCTTTAGCCCTCCGACGTAACGGTCCACCCGCTCCGCTTCGTGCATGTAGCCGACTTGCTCGCATAATGCGAGAAAACCACTCGTGTAGTCTTGAACCGATCCGAGTTGCCGCCAAGTACGCAGTTTCTGACGCGCCGAAATGGAAGCCGCGATTGGCTCGAAGCGCGCCCGAAGCCCTGCGCACCACGCATCCCACGTGCTGTATTGGGCCGTTTCGCAGAATGAACTCCAGGTGACAGCTGGACCCGTGGGCCCTTCCTCTTGCGACGGTGGCTCGTAGGCGCATGGCGACGTCACGATGACTCGCCACCAGTCCATGGCGGGGCCCCTCAGCAGCGAAACAGCGTAGCGAATCTTCGCTGCGTCCGACTCGACGTAATTTGCGTCGAAGAAAACGTTCATCGTGAAGACCCACGACTGAACCGTCGGACCTCCACGTTGGCTCGGATCGAAACAGGGCGGGCGCTGCGGCTTGAGTGGCATTGGTGCCATGATGTCGTGGTTGCCACTTGTTGCTGCAAATTCCACGTGCCGACGAGCTTCGCGAGGCCCATGCGGGCTTGGCGCGGCCCGATTTCTCTCCATGCCAGGCATCGATTGAGCGGCGCCATCACTGGCTGCGCCTGAGCGCTGTCCCACGCTGTCTTTTTGCGTCGGTGTGCCTGATGAGATGACGATCGGTTCTTCTGATTGCGCAGGTGCATTTGCGGGTGCTTGTGATGGAGCTGGTGCATTCACCGTTGATTGCTGGCGGGCGGAGTCACGTTCCGCCGTGAGTGTCGCGATTTCGAGTGCCGAAACTTCGAGTTGACGCACGAGACGGTCGAGCTGCTCCTGCGTCAATGTCGCAAGATTAATTTCGGCCATGGCGGGGGTGTCGGGCAAACTCAGCGAGAGCCTCTGTCGTGGCCGTGCGTGCTTACGAGAGAGCACTTCGAGCGGCGGTGCTTGTTCGCTGAGAGACGTCTACCCCCCCCAAAAATTGAGATAGTGGGGAAGCGAAGGTGTGGGTGCGGTCCGAGAGGAGATCGTAGGCTCTGAATACCAGGTGTTACGAGTGCAATTGAGTGAACGAGCGAGAATTGCACTATCGAAGCAATCAATTCAGTTGAGCGAAAAGCATGAGCGAAGTTATATAGCGAAGCTAGTGTGGTAACGGTAATGTGGGAAATTGGGGTGCGCTACGGGCCTAGCGCCGAGGTTGGGAATTGTCGAGGCGGAGGTCTGGAGCGCGGGTTACCAACCGAACCGTGAGGTTGGGTCGCATCGTGAACAGTGGCGGGAGTCGTGGTCGAGGCGAATGTCGCGAGCGGGTAACGTTCACGGATGGGTGCCGATGGCGGGAACGTGCATGTACGCGATAAGCAGGGACGCGAAGTAAGGAAAAGGGATTTTCCTTACACTACCAAAGTAGTACTTCCGTCACTAAGCATATCACGTTTGTTGGAAACAATTCTCAGCCCAACAACGTTTTCAATCCCAACCAACCTTCCTAAGGTTGAAAGCTGTGACCCCCGGGTTTTAAAGCCAGGGTCTCATGTACGGGTTGGCCGTGCAACTGCAAAACACTTGGGCGAAAAGTGGGTTCTCGATTTGACAAAACTTTGGCCCCCAGATTCGTAAACCAATCAGACAGGCCCTTTTTTCATCGACTGCAAAACACTTGGTCCCTCAGCGATTCCGCGTGAAGCCTACCCTTTTCCGTCTCCTCCGCCTCTTCCTCCCCTTCCGCCTCTTCCGCCACTTCCGGCCCTTCCGCCTCTTCAACTCTCCTCTACCTCCTAAGCATGAGTTTCCGCGGAGGCGGAACGGCGGGGGGAAGCGCGCGCAAGGGCCCGCAATACGTGCGCCACATCCCCAAGTTCCTGCAGGTGCTGCTTCCACCTGTGCGCAACCCCCGCCTGCTGCGCTTCCGCACTTGCGCGACTCCCGCCTGCCGCACCTTTCCGCCTCTTCCGCCTGCCATACCCACTTACCCCATCAGTACTGCTGTTCATGCGCCATAGGCCCCGTTCCCACTAAGCGGGTTTTTCAACCCGTTGCGCTTTCCCCCCCACCCCGCGCTATACCTTCCGCAATTCCTCCTTCTCCCCTCCATTCCCCCTCCTTCCCCCCTCCACCCCCCCTGTTCTCTCGCCTCTTCCCTGAAGCACGAGAACCTGATAGAGAGGCACGAGAGAAGGGCAGAATGCCTTTCCGTTGCTCCCACATGCAATTCCCCCCGGCGCTCCTCCGCTCCCCTCCTCCCCCCCCTTCTGTCCCCCACCTCTCTGACTTACGGCCATTTGATAGAGAGGCGCGAGCGAAGGGCGGAAGGCCGTTCAGCTGCTTCCACATGCAATCCGCTCCCCCCCCCCTCCCCTCCCCTCCCAATCACCCCCCTGCTCCCCTCCTCCCCCCCATCCGTCCCCCACTTTCCAGAAGAACGAGCATTCGATAGAGAGGCGCGAGCAAAGGCCAGAAGACCTTTCAGCCCACCAATGCTTGTCCCACCATCGAATCGAAGCACGGACCTTTTGTTGCACCAGCGAAGCAAGAGCACGGACCTTCTGTTGCATTTACTCTGCGTTTTCTCTACCTTTTTTCGTCTTTCAGAAGTGCGAGCACCTGATAGAGAGGCGTGAGGGGCAGAAGGTGGTGCTGCTGGGTGCAGTACGGTACAGGGTGCTTACTCCAGGCTTACCGTTCCCCCTTCCTCCTCCCCCCATTTTCAGAAGTATGAGCATTTGATCGAGAAGCGTGAGGGGCAGAAAGTGGTGCGGGATATGGGGGGAGGGGAGGGCGAGGGGGAGGGAGAGGGGGAAGGGGGAGAGGGAGGAGGAGGGGGAGGAGGAGGGGGAGTTATGGGGGGAGCAGGAGGAGGAGGGCAGAGCGCACATGATGATGACGGTGAGTGGGGGATGGGGACTGGGGTGGGGGTAGGAAGGAGTAATGAGGATGGGGATGGGGTTGTGGGTGGGTTGATGTAATGGGGGTGGGGCAGCAGGCAGCAGGAGGGCAGAGCGCACATGATCGGATGGGGATTGGGGTGGGGATTGGGGTGCGGATGGGGGTGGGATGGGGGTGGGATGGGGGTGGGATGGGGGTGGGATGGGGGTGGGATGGGGGTGGGATGGGGGTGGGATGGGGATGGGATGGGGGTGGGATGGGGGTGGGATGGGGGTGGGATGGGGGTTGCAGGCAAGGGGAAGGGGAGGAGGCGACAAGGGAGACAGAGTGGGAGGCAGCAGGAGGGCAGATGGCACATGATGATGATGGTGAGTGGTTGGTGGTGATGGGGGTGGGATGGGGTTGGGGGGAAGTAGTGAGGGTGGGTCTGGCACGTGGGATGGGGATGGGAATGGGGATGGGGATGGGGATGGGGATGGGGATGGGGATGGGGATGGGGATGGGGATGGGGATGGGGATGGGGATGGGGATGAGGATGGGATGGGGATGGGGGTTGTGGGTTGGGGGAAGTAATGAGGGCGGGGATGAGGGTGGGGGAGTAATGGGGGTGGGGCAGGCACATGAAACGCCTTTAGATAAGTACATGGGTACATTACATTGTGCTATTGTTGATATCCTTTTCCAGTTTGATTGCTTTGGCACCCCCCATCCCCCCCCCCCACCCACCTCCGCATCCCTTAAAACGCCCCCAAACGCCTCCAAATACACGTCTACTCTGTGTGCCTCTTATGCGTGCATGCATGGTGCTGTGTGTGTGGTTGGTTGTGTGTGTGTGTGTGTGTGTGTGTGTGTGCGCGCGCGCGCGCGCGCGGGCTCTTGCATGCAACCACACTCCATCGATCCCCGCACGTGCCGCCCAAAAGAGGACTTCGAGGATGTGAGTTTCATGTTCTTCCTGCCACGTGGCACACTAATGCATGCCACGTGGCACACTAATGCATGCCACGTGGCACTCCTTACCTGTTATTGCATTTTCATCACGTATCTTTTCGGTTGCATGTCATCATTGGAATATTTATTTCTTTGGTAACCATTTATGTTTCATTCATACTTCTACCTAAACCCTAACCATTTATGTTTCATTCATACTTGTACCTAAACCATAACCATTTATGAGTTGCTGTCATAAATTTTGAGCAGCAGACCTTCATACCTCTTGGTTTTGTTTGTTTCTTTCTCCCTTATGGGTGTCTTTTGTTGTCCTTATAAAATCTATTAACATTATTCTGCTAATAGATGTCTTTGTTCTGTTGTATGTTTTCTTCATATTTCTTGATTATCAGGAGCTTCAAGGCGCAACGATTGTCTATGACGAGCGCGAGGGGGGAGCCGGGGGAGCAGGGAGAGAAGGGGAGGACGGGGAAGCAGCACTGACAGCGACTGAGGTACGAAGGTGGGTGCTCTTCAAATGGTTTCGCTGGGGATGAAGGGTGGGAGAGTAGAAGAGTGGGAAGGATTAATAGGGGGAATTAAGAAGGGGAGGATGGGGATGCAGCACAGGCATGAACTGAGGTACGAAGATGGGTGCCTTTTGAAAGGGTTCAAGGGAAAGTGGAGGGGATTAGTAGGGCAGGAAGAATTAGCAGGGAGGATGGGGAAGAAGCAGAGGTAAACGGAGAGGGAATAAGGGGGAAGGAGAGGTGGGGATGTAGTCGTGTTGACGGTTAAGGGAGTGTAGGGAACGGCATCACAGACAGACAGTGACCCAGAGAGAACCGGGAGGCTTCAATTTGGGACAGGACAGGTCTGGTAACTGGGAAGAGAGAATCCCTGTGCCTTTTCATCTCTGTGCCTTTTCATCCCTGTGCCTTTTCATCTTTCTACATGCAACGTTTTGTCTTCCTTTTGCCCGTGAATACATGGCTGGTGGTTTCCCTAGTTGTAACGCACTCCTTGTTTTTGCCTGTGATGTGTGTGTGTGCATCCTTCTTCTTTGCTCATGTCTTTGAAACACAATGTCTCGGTGGCATGATGGGGCATGATGGCATGATGGCATGGTGGCGCATGGTGGCACGATGGCGCATGGTGGCACGATGGCGCATGATGGCGCATGATGGGGCATGATGGCATGGCATGATCAGTTGAAGGAACAGGGGAATGCAGCATTTTCCAGAGGCGAGTACGAGGAGGCAGTGGGGCTCTTCACTCGAGCCATTCAAGTGGACCCTAGGTGTGCCGTTGCGGGGCATGGGTATGTGTGGGTGTGTGTAGGGCATCTCCAGGTGGGCATCTCCCAACGGTACCCCAGGTGGGCATCTCCCAACGGTACCCCAGGTGTGCCTGGGAGAATGGGGCATAGGGCAATGCCGAGGCGAGTACGAGGAGGCAGTGGGGCTCTTCACTCGAGCCATCGAACCCGACCCCAGGTGTGCTTGCACGCACGCACGCACGCACGCACGCACGTCAACCCACCTGTCCTTCTGCTCCTCGTGCCTCCCATGTGTTGGCCCCTCTCTCCCCATTGCTGCCATGTGTGTCCCCTCTCTCCTCCCCTCCCAGTAGCTTGAGTGCTCCCTTCAGCAACCGATCAGCCGATCATGCAGCCGTGCGGACCAGCAACATCCTCACTCCCATCCTTCTGCTCCGCCACCTGTCACCCGTCTCTCCCCCTCCCCTCCCATCAGCTCCAGTGTACTCTTCAGTAACCGATCAGCGGCCCATGCAGCCATGAAGAACTTTCAGCAGGCGTTGCACGATGGCAGGAAGGTACGCTTACAAGCGTTCTCTTTATAGTGTTATAAGTGTTCTCTTTACAGTGTTATAAGAGTGTGTGATAGTGTCTCACACATGCAGCCATGTGAAGCTCCCATCAGGCGGTGCACGGCACGATGGCAGGAAGGTACGTACGAGCATGGGTCTGTATTTACTCGTTGTGTGTTACAGGCACACATGCAGCTATGAAGAGCTTCCATTAGGCGGTGCACGATGGCAGGAAGGTGGGCGAGTTTACTATTCTCGTTTTAAGCCTTCCCTCTATAGAGTTGTAAGCATGTGTGATAGTTTCTCACACATGCAGCCATGAAGAACTGTCAGCAGGAATTGCACAATAGCAGGAAGGTGGGTATCTGTACTCGTTATAGGCCCTTTGTATCATACCGTTATATGCATTTGCGACAGTGTATCGTGTCACTGCCACTGGTGGTGTAGCAAGCATGCATGCAACCATGAAGGCAGGAAGGTAAAACAATGTGCTTATACTCGTTAGGAACATCTGCGTTACAAGCACACATGTTGCCATGAAGAACTTCCAGCAGGCATCGCACGATGGCCGGAAGGTAAGCATACATACATCTGTACTCGTTATAGGTCTTACTGTGTGGTGTTATAAGCATCTGCAACAGTGCGTAGTGGCACTGGCATACCATGCATTTATGTAGCCATGAGACACGTTCTATATATAGCTCTTTCCTCTCCCTTCCCACCACTTACCACCGTTGTTGACCCCTTGTTCAAGCGCTGCAGCTGCAGCCGCGGTGGGTCAAGGCATACTCTCGCATTGCAGTGAGACTCATTTTCATTCTTATCACTTGTCTGCACCCCTTTCCACCGCTTTCCACCACTTTCCGCCGTTTCTGCAGGCGTTGTGGGCTAAGGCGTACTCTCGCATTGCAGTGGCGCATATATCCCTTCTTATCCCTTTCCTCTCCCATTCCCTTCATTCTTCTCCCCGTTGATCACTCGTCTGCACCCCTTTTCACCTCTTTCCACCCCTTTATTCAGGCTCTGCAGCTGCAGCCGCGGTGGGCTAAGGCGTACTCTCGCATTGCAGTGGCGCATTATGGGATGAAACAGTACGTAGAGGTGAGATGAAACTGTTCCGAGGCGAGATGAAACTGTACTGAAAGAGGACTTGACATGTACTCTCGCATCACATTTGTGCATTATGGGATGAAACAGTATGTAGCCGTGAGATGAAACAGTATGTACGGGTGAGATGAAGCAGTATCAAGAGAGGATTTGAAGTTGTAATTCTGTATTGCAGTGGTGTAGTAAACTGTACATAGAGGTGAGATGAAACTCTACTGGGAGGAGTGTGGAAACTCTATTGAGAGGTGTATTGAAACTGCTGAGAGAGGTGAGTTAAAACTTTACCGAAAGAGGTGGATTGAAACTGTACTGGTGAATTCGATCGAGAGATGAACAATTTGAACTGTACAAACTGTTTTGGTTAAACTGCATTCACCCCATCTCCTCTCTCTCTCCCTGCTTGGAAATCACTGCAGGCAGCAGCAGCATACGAGAAGGGGCTGAAGTGTGACCCACTCAGCACCGTGTGCAAGCAAGGGCTGCAACAGGTGAGTAGCCGTCAGAAGTGAGACAAGTCTGAGGCGCTTCAAAACAGGTAAGCAGCCATCGTTGGCAGAGCAGACAACCTGCAGAGAACAGGTGCAAGCAAGGACTGCTGCAACAGGTAAGCAGCCATCGTTGACAGAGCAGACAACCTGCAGAGAACAGGTGCAAGCAAGGACTGCTGCAACAGGTAAGCAGCCATCGTTGACAGAGCAGACAACCTGCAGAGAACAGGTGCAAGCAAGGACTGCTGCAACAGGTAAGCAGCCATCGTTGACAGAGCAGACAACCTGCAGAGAATAGGTGCAAGCAAGGACTGCTGCAACAGGTAAGCAGCCATCGTTGACAGAGCAGACAACCTGCAGAGAATAGGTGCAAGCAAGGACTGCTGCAACAGGTAAGCAGCCATCGTTGACAGAGCAGACAACCTGCAGAGAATAGGTGCAAGCAAGGACTGCTGCAACAGGTAAGCAGCCATCGTTGACAGAGCAGACAACCTGCAGAGAATAGGTGCAAGCAAGGACTGCTGCAACAGGTAAGCAGCCATCGTTGACAGAGCAGACAACCTGCAGAGAATAGGTGCAAGCAAGGACTGCTGCAACAGGTAAGCAGCCATCGTTGACAGAGCAGACAACCTGCAGAGAATAGGTGCAAGCAAGGACTGCTGCAACAGGTAAGCAGCCATCATTGACTATTGAGTCGATTCAAAAGTAAACTCGGTTTATAGTCACACGCGAGTTTGAGGACTGCAAAAACCGAGGGTGGACCGGACTCGGCAAAAGTAAGCAACTGTTCGAATTGAGGCGAGTTTTGAGGCGCCTCAAAACAGCACCTTGTTGAAACTGTCACGCTGTTGAGCCAACTCAAAACAGCAACTGTGACGCTGTCGCTCTGTCACATCTTTGATTTCCCACTTCTGAGCCAACTGAAGATGTAAAAAAAAAAAAAAAAAAAAAAAAAAAAATCACGTGTGACCAATACCTTGTTGATATTGTCATGTTGTTCAGCCATCGAATCTTGTATCATTTCCCACTTGCGAGTGTGGGAGAGGCAGCAGCAGGAGGATGAGAAGGAGGCGAAGACTGGGAAGCACACGTTTCGAATGCTGAGAATGTAACACATAGAGTGTGTGTAACATTGAATCCCATGTGACGATTTCATATGTGTAACTGCCACTTGTGTTGTGTGTTACCACACCAGGCACGGGAGTGGCAGCAGCAGGAGGATGAAAAGGAGGCCAGGACTGGGAAGCACACACTTTGCGTGAACATAACAGGTTTACGGGCACATTCTTTACCCATCACGTTATTGAACTGTCATTTCCACACTGGCAGACGCGGGAGAGGCAGCACCAGGAGGATGAGAAGGAGGGGAAGACAGGGAGACACATGCTTTGCATGAACATAACAGGTTAACGGTCACATTGTTGACACATCGCATCATTAAACTGTCATTTCTCACTGGCAGGCACGGGAGAGGTGGCAGCAGGAGGATGAGAAAGAGGCCAAGACCGGGAAGCACACGTTTCGCAAGCGGAAAGCAGCAGAGGGAGGCACGAAAGGGGAGGGGAAGGAGGGAGATGCACCAGTAAGGCTTGGGGGGGAAAGCAGGGGATGCTCTGGTAAGGAGGGTGAGGGATGGGGGGGATTTGCTGTGAGTCTATTTTTGAGTCGACTCAAAAACAGACTTGTCACACCCGGTAAGGATGGGTTTGAAAGCAGCAGATGGTCTGGTAAGGAGGGTGAGGGGGGGGGGGAGATGCGCTGGTGAGGAGGGGGACGGTGGGGGGGGAGATGTGCTGGTGAGGAGGGGGACGGTGGAGGGGGGGATGTGCTGGTGAGTGGGATGGGAGGGGAGGATGTGCTGGTTAGGGGGATAACACATGTGTCTGTGCAACTGCTCACACATGTGCCAACACGTTTGGCAACACACTAGTTCACTGACCTCCCTTCACACTTGCCCACACACTTATCACTACAATTACTCACACGCTTGCTCACAGACTTGCCAGCACATTTGCCACGTCCCCTCGAATTGCACTTCTCTTGGCACACTGCCACTGCTCACTGCTCTCGTGGTTTCCTGCAGAGTGGGAAGAACCAAAAGAAGGCGAGTGGAGGGCAGGGGACAACACAAAAAGGGGCTGGCTCACTGCTTTCCTTCGACGACGAGGCTGAGTTTGAATAGATATTAAGTACAGTAATGGAAAGGTTGTGCTGGATATTTGTTTTTTTTTCAAACAAAGCCCTGGCATAGCTGTAGATGCTAAGGTACTGTTCTGAGTCCGTAGAATCGGAATATGGTTTGTATTTAAGGTAGAACTGTACTATTCCAATGGTGTTGATCCTTGCAAGGATTTTTTCGACATTCCTTACCGCGCATCCCAACATCGCGTACATGACCGATCGTTTCTTCGCTCGTTACTGACAACGGTGTTTCGCCGCCTTCGCGCGCTACAATTGCCAAACCATGCATCGCTGGTATGGCCCGAGTCGGCCTACACTTCGGGGCAAGCCCGAACCTTGCTGCCAGCATCGCACTAGCTAGCTTGCTTGCACAGTGTTACCATTTGCATGTTTCGCTTATAAGTATCCGCTCACTCATGCCTTCACTCATACTTGTACTCGTTCGCCAACTTAGTGCAATCCTCTCTTCCTCGATACATTGCACCCGTAACACTTGGTATCAGAGCCACTTTCCTTTCGGACCGCGCATTTCCGCACCCACCAGAACTCAACTTTTGAGTTTTCACTCGAAGGGACTCACGCCCCTTAGCGTACTAGGAGCCGTTGTCCTCGCGCTCTCTCGCAAGCGCGTGCAGCCACGGCTGCGCCTAGCACCTAGACCGGTCGACGTCCTTCGACATGGGAGAACGTATTGACCTCGCTAACCTGACGCAGGAGCGCCTGGACGAGTTAACGCGCCAACACTGAAAGTCACGAGGAAATCGCCACACTGACGGCATAACGCGCGTCACTGCAAAATGACATCACCCGGGCGCAACAAACACAAACGCAAGGAGCACAAGGAGCACCATCCGCCGCTCACCACGAGAGTGTGGGACAACACTCGAGCGCTGCTAGTGATGGCGTCGCACGCAACGACGTTCGCGACGACCACGGGACGACACACCCCGGAGCGTCAACATTGCGACGCAGATCGATGAGTCGGCTCTCCCTTCACCGATGCCGCTCAAGCCGCAGCGTCCGCCATGCTTTGACCCAAGTCAACGGGGTGGTACGACGGTTCAGGCGTGGATCTTCACCATGAACGTATTTTTCGACGCGAACTACGTCTCGTCGGATGCGGCGAAAATTCGCTACACCGTGTCGCTATGTCAGCAGAATAAACGAGAATGAATTGACTAACAGCAGGATGGGTACAAGTACTAACCCTAATTGGGTTGTACCCCATATGGGCTACCCCACTATAGCCTACACAAAATACAGCATATAAGTTTGACACACCCCCATAGGCAAAGTGGGGGAGAACAAGAGGTCACAAGACCAGTCAAGAAAAGCAAAGCAAGCTCAGGGTGGATTACGAAGTCACCACACATTCTGAGCACAAGCAAATGGCCATAGGGCCAGTTCATATGCAGAGTTATATAAAGCAGAACAAGCAGTACAGTGATCAAAACCTAGAAAGGGTAAGCATGCAGGTATAAGCATATAGATCAAAGTACAAGCAAAGTCAAGAAGTGAGCAAGTGAGGCCAAGTAGGCACAAGGCCTAGAACAGTACAGAAACGCTGATGATCACAAGGCTGAAGTGCCTTGGTGAAGATATCAGCAGTGTTGGCCCGAGAGGCCACGTAAGCAAGACGAAGATGTCCACGCTGCTGCAAATCTCGAGCAAGGAAGTAACGCGGAGCGATGTGCTTCGTCCTGTGCTCAAGTCTGTGCTCCTGACACAAGGCAATCATGGCCTTGTTGTCGACGTACAGAACTGGAGGAGAACGAGGCGGCTCGCCCAAGTCGGTTAGCAGGTAGGTGAGCCAGCGTAACTCCTGTGCGGCCATGGCCCCTGCGTAGATCTCAGCCTCACAACTGGAACTGAGAACAGAAGACGAGCGGGTAGACAGCCAAGAAACAGAGCCGGAACCAAGGCTGAAGGAGTAACCCTGTGACGACCACTGCGTAGCCAAGTCGTCAACCCAAGAAGCGTCTGTGTGACCAGTGAGGACAACTGGAGCCCGTCCTCCAAGCACGAGCCCCATGCCCGACGTACTGCACAAGTAGCGCATAACCCTCTTAGCGGCCTCCCAGTGCTCTGGTCGGTGTCTCCCGGGCGCAACGTAGCGAGCCAGGATGCTAAGAGGGTAAGCAAGGTCAGGTCGAGTGCAGGTCATCAGGTACATGAGGCAGCCCACAAGCTCTAGATACGGGCCACTCGGCTCTACGGACTCATCCGAAGGCAGAGCTGAGAGCGAGTGACCGATAGGCAGAGGAGTGGACTGTGGCGAGGAGTACGTGAAGCGGAAGCGCTGAAGGACCTGCTGTACCATGTGTGACTGAGTCAAGGTAATGGTGCGCCGTGCTCTGTCCCGGGTGATCTGCAAGCCAAGATAGCTGCGCAGCTCACCCAGGTCTGTGCACGTATGTCTCTTCTGCAGCTCCGACTTCACGTGGGCCAGTCCCTCAGTGTCAGCAGTGGCAAAGACCAAGTCGTCGACGTATACGAGGATGTAGAATGGCGGCAGCGAAGTGTCGGTGCGTAGAAACAGCGACGGGTCAGCAGTCGAAAGAGCAAACCCAAGAGCCGCAAGCATCGTCCTCAGTGTGTCGTGCCACTCGCAAGGCGCCTGGCGGAGACCGTAGACTGGCCGTCGGAGGCTCCACTGGGTACCTGCAGGAAACGACCCAGTGAAGCCAGGTGGGCGGCGCAGCCAGATCTCCTCGTGCAGGCTGCCCTGTAGGAAGGCTGTGCTGAAGTCAAGAGAATGAAGCTCGTAGTCACGCTGAGCGGCGACGTGCACCAGCACCCGAAGAGTGGTCATCTTCGGGGTGGGGGAGAAGGTCTGGAAGAATTCAACTCCCTGTCGCTGACTGAAGCCTCGAGCAACGTAACGCGCCTTGAAGACAGGCGGAGAACCCGGCGGCCGCTTCACCCCGAAAATCCACATGCCACTGACGATGTTCGCCCCAGGTGGGGGAACCTCGTCGACGTAGGTGCCTGTGGACTTCCAGGAAGCCATCTCTGCATCCATGGCTGTCTGCCACTGAGAGGAGTAGGGACCCTAAATCGCCTCTGCGTAAGAGCGCGGGGTCGGGATGTCTGGTGCATCCGGGTCTCCCTCAGGTGCAATCAGCATGGACACGAGATGAGGCAAAGCAGCTGCAAAACACTCAAAGTCCTCCTGCCTCTACTCAAGGACGTCCGTGCCAAGAGCACACTCACCCCCGATGGACGGAGGACAGACAGACTCAGACTCAGCAACAAAGCTAGCGGCGTAGTCGAGGCGACAGGCGGCAGCAAAGTCAACAAGCTCGGCAACTAGGGCAGACGCAGCAGTGGACTCAAACGAAGGGTCAGTGACAACAGTGCGAACAGCGCGAACAGGCGACGCAGGACGAGACTCAGGCTCACGACGCTCCGCAAGACATCCTGTCGGCCCAGTGTAAGGAGAAGTAGCAGGCAGTGGGGAGGCTGGCTATAACTGCGACTGCGACTGGTCAGGTGGTGGACACAGTAAGGGAGGAGGAAGGCCAGTAGAAGGCGGGAGACCAAGAACCTGCTGAAGCAGTGGAACGAAGTACGGTCGCGGCCGCACAGTGCCTCCAGAACCAGCACCGACAGCACCAGTACCCCCAGCTCCAGGGTCTCCAGCTCCAACGCCTGCAGTACCACCAGCTCCAGCACCTCCAGCAGCTCCAGCTCCAGTAGCACCTCCAGCTCCAGCAGCTCCAGTACCTCCTGCTCCAACTCCTGCAGCACCACCAGCTCTAGCAGCTCCAGTACCTCCAGTACGAGCACCTCCGGGACCAGCGACTCTAGCACCTCCAGCACCTCCAGGACCAGCAGCTCCAGCACCAACGCTGGCAACACCTCCAGCTCCAGCAGCTCCAGTACCTCTAGGCTCAGCACCCCCAGGCTCAGCACCCCCAGGCTCAGCACCCCCAGACTCAGCAACCTCAGGCTCAGCACCCCCAGGCTCCGCACACTCAGGCTCAGCACCCCCAGGCTCCGCACGCTCAGGCTCAGCACCCCCAGGCTCCGCACGCGCAGGCTCAGCACCCGCCGTGAAGATGACTGTGGGGAAGGGGGCGGCACCTGAGGGGCAACCGGGGGGGGGGGGGGGGGGTAGCGTGTGACACACCTGACGGAGCTGGATCAGGGGGGGGGGGGGGGGTTGCTGTATCGGAGGGGCAGGAGGGGGAGCGGGAGTCAGGAAGAGAGGGGGAGGAGGAACCGGGAGACCTCGACAGGGGTACCGGGTGTAGTAGGGGACTGACTCGACAAAACGAACGTCACGGGAGTCAAAGAACCGGTAAAGGGGGGGGTGGTAAAAGGTGAAGTCAGAGGAGTCCTCGGGGAAACCAAGGAAGACACAGGGAAGGGCGCGAGGGGAGAGCTTGTCCGCGGAGGTGTCGCGAACAAGCGCCAAGCAGCCCTAGACATGAAAACGCGACACAGCACCAAGGGACCCGGTCCAAAGACTGGTCGGTAAAGCCTCTGGCCGAGAGACATGTGGCCAGAGGTTCAGCTGGTGAGCGGCGTACCGAACCGCGTAGAGCCACAGAAAATGGGGCGCACAGGCGTGGATCATGGAGGTGCGTGCAATCTCCATGACTAAGCCTATGCGGCGCTCAGCAACCCCATTCTGCTGTGGGGACTCTGGAAGCGTCCAACACGGACGGATGCCCTGCTCGCGACAAAATCCAGCGAGAATGCCGGAGCGAAACTTACCCCCGCGGTCGGAGTGAAGGCAGCTGACACGACGACCACGAGTGTCCGCAGTGGTAAGTAACTAGCGGATCAGCGTAGAAATCACCTCAGACTTCTTCGCCAGGGGAAACACTGTGGTGTAGCGAGAGCAGTCATCAACGACTGCAGATCCACCGGGAGCAGGTGCTCGTGTCGAGGACCTTGGGGGTGTCACCTCTGGAGGTGTTGGAGTTAGAGCTGAGACAGTGCCTGCACGAGGCCCTGATGCTGGGGGTGCTGGAGTTGGAGCTGAGCCCGTGT